TTGATGAGAAATATATCGCCATCCTTACCTTTGGAGAATGAACAAAGATCGCAAGAATATAACTGTGAGACGGAAGACGCAGCGAGACACAGACTGAGATCCCCAGAGCTTGTGAGATTGGCCACGATGAGGGGAAGACAGTGCAACAACTTTTTCGGACAGGTTCAGGCTCACGACGTCAGCCAGAGTCCACAGTGTTCTGGTGAGCAACCAGGTCTGTCGGCAAAATGCGAACTGAGATTTCGGACGGTGTCCATGTCATCTGTGTCGGTCCTGTCATGTGGTACCACAAGAACAGTTCTGAGTCGGTCAAGATCATGCAATTATCTTCTGAACCCTGATGAAATCTCTGGCCACCCTTCGGGTGTACCCACTCACCTGCACAAATCCTCTGTCTACAGCGAACAATTAAAATCGGTAAGTCTCTTTAATAAGTAGAGAATATGTGACTGGCTTGTTCATTCAACGACGTTGCTTCAGTTGAGTTGAGTAGGTGGCGAGAATTAAGTTATTCTTAGATCTCTGAAGGTATATGAACAGCAGTTATTTGTGATTTATTGAACGACTCAGGGAGGATGACTAATGAATAACAAATCGGATAGGATGTGGAAGGAAGCGTTCGTTGCCCAATTTAAAGTATCATTGCGGCATATGTAAGGAGTGACTGGGAAGAACCACTAAAACCGTGTCAGAATAGTCGGTCTCCGTCCCGAGATTCGACCTCGGAACCTGCCGATTACGAAACAGATAAGGCAGTCACTCGGTCGTGGCGTTCTGTCGGAACATCAGAGATGGGGAGATGATTATGAATGGTAAAACGGTACGGATTTGGAATTTAGTGACCTGTTTCAAGGTATTTTCCCCAGTATTACTCTTGGTAGAGTAAATAAAACCACGAGAATCCTCGAGGTCACGCCAATCGAGATTCGATCGTCGGACCTGAACATCCCTTACTCCGAGAAAAACCAAGTGCCAGGTCAGAGAGACGAAGCCCCTAACTGTGGACCGAGGCCCTGCGTGGTCTGGGCCATCGCGCACCTCGTGGGGTGCTACCGTGACGGGTTCTTGGATTGCGATACGCGGACGGCAAGCAGGATGCGACCCAGAATGCATATTTTTTACGGAAGTGACTGTAACGATATTGTTTCAATATAAAGAGAGAATGAAGTCAAGTATTGTTCCATTGAGCAAATGACAAATAATAATTACAACGACTTCAAGGTCTGTTTCCATTTATTTCTTTCTGGACACGTTCCTTGAATGTGTATGCCTTAATGTCCACATCTTTTTGAGCCTTTATCAAGTATTTTCATTGTAAAATGTATCTAATTGTACTGAATATAATCATCCGAGATTTTTTCCCCATCTATATGGGGAAAAACGGTAACAGCGTTTGCTTTTTTAAACCGTAAAGCAAACTTAACTGTAAAACGTCAGTTCATATTTCTTAATTAGTTCCGCTAGAACCAAATGATGTGCTGTTAATGAACCGTATTTGGGCACTGTATAATTTTTTTTATTTCTGTTGTTATTTTGAAGGGTGACCTTGTGTGGTTCGACCCTGGTGTGGGCCAAGTCCTGCCAGGGGAAGTTTTAGAATTCCACCGAGCCGCGCAGGTCCTCACCGTCCACGCCCTCATCGGCGGTAAGGTGAGTAAGAGTTCTAGAATTTGTATGATTTTAGTCGACGGACACATTTTCATAATTTCACGTTACACAGATTAAAATGTAATTATCAGGCCTAAAACTTTTTTTTAGGTTTATCCCTAAATGCTTAGCAACGTATTTTATTTTCAGACGCGTTTGCAACTAAAAGCTTTTCAAAAAATACGTTCTTTGGCTTCTCCATAACCGTCTATAACAAGCTAAGAACATGTGTGTAAATGAGTGCGACATACGTCATTGTAGCGCTCAGCGTGTTAACTTCGGATGATATTCCATTAACCGAAGTCACCAGTAGTATTTATTTACTTTGCTAAATTTTGTTTGCATTTCCTCTGAGACTCTTTAAGCTCACGTAGCCTTTGCTCGCCTGAAAATAACCCTAATGAATGTAGTATTTATCTTCTGATTTGTAATTGCTGTGCTAGCAGAATTCAAGCGTTCAACTTCCTGGAGTTCCCGTTATGTGAAGTTGCTGTTTTACGATCGTAAAAATGTGTTGGAGTACAATGCATTCCGGGCGGAACTCAGTAACAACTATTTTCCTGCTACAGAGACTGGTCCATTACTATCAGGTTCTGGAAAAGGTTTATTCCACTGATTTAGCTATTTGACTTGATTTTACCGCGTAATTTTAAATTTATGATCTGAAGCTTTCACGGCGGGGAGGATAATATTAAAATGGATCTTAGAGAAAAGGGGTGTTTGAGAGTGTGGGTTGGATTCATCTGGTTCAGGGTAGGGACGGGTGAAGGGTTCTTTTGAAAACAGTAATGAACCTACGGGTTCCATAAAAGACGGAGTGTTTCTTGACTAGCTGAGCAACTATTAGGTTATCAAGAATGACTCTGCTTATGGAGTTAGACAGTTGGTTGTATAGGATGGGCTCTGCGTGGTTTCTGCGGGTTCATGCTGGCGTCATCGTGAAAATGATCGTGCAGTGGGAGAGACATATACCTGAACGCACGTGAAGATGATTCCGCAAAAAAACAAAACAAAAACTGGACACCGTCTCTCAGATCTGCATTTTTTGTTCTGATCAAAGTCGAACTCGGTTGAATTTTCTGCGGTCACAGAAATTTGTGCAAAACAGTTCTAACGGATGACGCGCATGTGACTCGAGACTTCGCTTCCAGTGGATGCCTTCACAACAGAATTACTGTACCTGAAATGGTTCTTAGCAGTTCCTTCAGACAAATTGCGGAGTTATACCTTAAAATAGGCCACGATAGCTTACTTAATTTTGATATCCTATCCACCATTCACGATTACCCTACCATTTGGTTCTGTTCAACATATTAAAATGAAAAAATAAAGCGTCATTAAATGTCAAGGATGAATCAGGAATTAATCTTTCTACACATTAAACACACTTTATCGAGCGTTGTATGTAAGTATACATGTGAATGACATTGAAGAGTTAAAATGGTTGTAACGTCTAGACGTGCAGGCACTAAGAAGGAAGAACATTCACTTTCTGTGTGTTGAAATACGAGGCTCTGAAACATGTTTGCCTGCCGCCATTATCATCCTACCATCTACGTAATGAGGAGACCCCCTCATCACGACTGAACACATTTTCCACTGCAGAGGCCAAGAACGTCGATAGATGTGTTGATCTGATTTAATAATGGAAAGTTGATATTATGATTGTCAGTTTTGGTTGCTTTCGCATATAGGAAAGGAGAAAACTTGAATCCAGTGGTTAGTACTCCGTAATCAGGAAGTCCCGAGTTCAAATCCTGTTCCGTACATTTTAAATCATATTATTAGCAAAAGCCTTGCCCCAAATTTAGGTACCCTGCAATACGTAAAAAAAACTCCTGTGACTTAATTCTTATTTGACTACATCATTAGGATTAAGCAACAATGCGATATCCGAAGAGAACGCCCTAGATCAGTGGTATTCAACCTGGGGTACGCGTACCCCCGGGGGTACGTGAAATTTTAAAAGAAAAATTGTGATAAGCACTGAATAATCAGGGCCAGATTTAATACATTATTTTGGTTGTAATTTATTTAATTTATTTTAGATGTAGATTATATACTGTGTATAATTTGAATTATACACCAACGACTTTGGGGGTGCAAAGTTGAAGAGAAATTATATCTAGGGGTCCGCGAACAAAAAAAGGTTGAATACCACTGCCCTAGGTGGTTTTAGATAGTTTATCGGAAGACTATTTTCTCAATTGTCAACAATTTTGCAATGTTGAAGTCATTCTACCGCATCTTGACGGATTCTGGGAAGTAATACGAGTGAATACTAGCGATTACATCTTTACTATTGTGCAATTTGGTCTTTGGGTCATTGTAGGTCCGTTCAAGGAGTGCGCTAAAATCTTGAGAGATGATTCTCACTTAACAAACTACGTGCGGAGCAGAGTCCTTCTTGAGAATCTAATAGTCTCTTAGCTGGTTAACAAATTCCGCTCCTTTCATTGAAACCTGCAAGTTCATTACCCTGTTCACAAGCGCTCGTCACTTGACCCTACCCTGAGCCAGTTTAATCTAGTTCACAGCCTCACATATGCTCCTCCCATCTCATCTTCTCCGACTGGTCGACATAGTAATATTTATTTTTATTGTAATTATAGTTTTTAGTTTAAATCTGATATGGAATTATTTTTAGTTAGGGTATTCATAGACTTTACGTGTCATAAAGCTACCGATTCGTATTATAAACAAATTTTTGCTGCTGCGCGGGGAATATAATTAGAATCTGTAGCTACCATTTATTATTTTGAATTACGTTGGGATTTTTAAACAGTTGGTTGAAAATGAACTTAGCTCTGTGTAGCACTTAGAACTTGGTGTGTTTTGACGAAGTCAGGATATCTTGACTGAAGAAGAGAGATGGAGAATATATAGCCGGAAGAAAGAAATGCTCATTGCAAGCCGGCTTTGACATCTTTCTCTGAACCTGTTCCATGCATCAGATGTAGAAGTTAGGTGAATAAGAAGAAGAGATGTTGAAGCCAGGAAAGTTGAAACGGGTCTCTCCTGCGAGCTGTGGAGAAAACCTTCCAGTCCGTCTCCGGTCGATCAACTATCCTCCTCGCGCTGCTTATCGGTCCGGATTGTTTGTGTTCCATTGCTGTCATGGGCTTCCTTCGAAGGTGTCCGAATGTCGAGTGGCGCGTGCTTTCTCTGAAGAGACAAGTTCCGTATTTTCTTAAATAGACGGATTTGTTATTTGGTTTAAAAATTGTTTGTGGAGATGCGTGTAGCCCCATTTACCCTGGTATAATTTTAAAAAGTAACATTGAAAATCGAATGCCGTGAAATTCAAGAAGTGTAGTTTCTTTCGTCAGTATTGTTTTAGTCTTGTGTCTGCGTGTGTGTTGTATCGTAATAAAATAGAAAATGGACGGGAGTCCAGATGAACAAGCATTGCCTGAAACATCTTCCGGTGACAGAAGAAAATCAAGTATTGTGGAGCCATTTTTACGACTCCAAAACAAAGCAACATCATGGTCATCGAAATCAGAAAGCGATCTTACAAGACTTGGCAGTGGTGAAGAGGCAGTGGAATGCTACGGTTCTAGTTTAGTCATCAAAGCAAATACTGACGTGCCGTGTGGTTTCAGTGGACAGCAGAACACAACTTTACATGATTTTGAAAATAGATGCAAATCGAGAAAGCAGCGTCGAGACGTTCTGGATCGCATTTCGATAGTATCGAACTCATCGCCACATTTATGCGTTCACGGTGCTTCAAATTCAAGAAGACGCAAATCATCAGGTGCTTTACTCGACGGATTTGCTGTTGGTAGAGATAATCTAAACCAGCAAACGTATGCAGCAATGAAATCGAGGCCTAGAATGAGAAATTTAAATCCAGCGGACGTTAGCAACGAATACGCAGTGCCATTTCCGATTGTTAAACCAGAAAGTGATTTTGTAGTAGAATATGGCAATATTGTTACGGTTGAAGACAGAACAACAAGGAAAAACTTATCATCTGACGACAATAAAGAAATTAGTGTTAGTGGTGAATCTAATAGCATTTGTCAATGCACTGGGAAACAGAAATTTATAGAAGGCCATTACAAAGCTACGTATTTATGTGACATTAAAACCAATGGGAGAAATGAGGGCGCTTCTAGCTTGGAGCAAACTTCACAGGAAGTTGAGTATGAAGGGGCGAAGCCCACAGACGCTGTTTCATTAACCACAAAGAACACGTTAATACAACAAATTTCCGACAAAGAACCAAGGAATAAACGTGACTGTCTTCCGATACCGAGTACTAGATCTTCAGTTTTTTCTTCATTCGAGGACTCTGGGAGTCATATATATTCCAATTTCATGGGATCAAGTTGCTTAGTACATAAAGTCCCTACTTCGAATACGGGGGAGGAGAATCATTATGGAAATTGCATCTGCTCCAGTGTTGACGATGAGGCTCAAAGACGTCGCCATTCTCGGAGGCCATCGAGAGCGTCTTCCACGATCTCCAGCGTGAATCGATTGACAGCGAAGAGGAATAAGGACGGATCTCCCGCCAGGCTGTCAGAGCTCTGTATCAGAGTTCTTATTAGCTGTGTGAGTACTAACAACGTGTTTCATCAAGACCGACCATTCTTCCGTTGTCTCCAACATTTTCTTTTATCAGAACGATAAAATTAGTTCTCAACGATGGATAGGAAAGGTGGCCATTTTAAGTTACTGTTCTTGTATTTGCCTGTATGGATTGAGGAAAGTCGTGATAAAGCACATGGTATCAGGCCTGTGTCGAGATTTGAACCCGGAGCGTGTATTAACCATTTAAAAGCAATTTTTAGTTTTTGAGGAAATGTCTCATCTGATAGAGCGTATATTAACCATTTAAAAGCGATTTATAGTTTTTGAGGAAATGTCTCATCTGATGAGGTACGGTTGCATATGAATTGCCTACAGGAGCTGAAGAAATTCTGACAGTTCTCCGGTGATGCTATTTTCAAAAATGTTTCTAAACTTCGCCCTAATCATGTGGCTACACCGTGAAGCCGCAGCCTCGTAATCAGACGTCTCGGGTTCACATCTCGGTCTTGAGGCCTCTGCCCTTTATGATATTCTTGGTAGAATTACCCCAGACCTTCAAGGGACACGAATAATGTACGTGTATGTACAATAAGAGATTATTATTTATAACACGAGATGCGAGGCCACAAGTTGCCAAGAAGGTGCTGAAATCATCACAGATTATGAACTGAAGTTTAGGCTTAATTTTGTTTGAAAACGCCTGGGTAGAGAGAACGTGTTTAGAAGCTGGTGGCAGTGTTAAGTTGGCTGTTACAGAGTTGCTTTCCACTCCTCATACTTGCTCCAGATTGGCTGCAAAAGTTCAGGTCATGCAGTCTCGGTGTTGTGGAATTCCTTCGCCCGCCCAAGTACGCGTCAGGTGGCATAACATTCTCTCTACTCCTTCCTCATTCTTCTGTAAGCGTTCGTGCGAAAGAAGGAATCTGGACGTAATAGAGCTACAGCGGAAAATAAAATAATTCTTACTACGAGGAACGGCCTCTGTCAACTTAATGAAATGGCGGTAGTTCAGATATGTATCTGGGATGGAAGGATAAAGAAATTTCTTGCAATGTCTTTATGTAGAATTCCACACAAAAGACGATTTGCGAAGCTTCGACTTGTATGCTCTTCAATCAAGTCAAGGAGGTTGAGATGGGAGGGATGTGTAGCATGCATGGGAGATATGAGAAATGTATGCAACATTTGATATATATCTGCTTGTAGACAGGGATGATAATGTTAAAACAGATCTTAAATAAATATTGTGTGTGGTGGATTCATCTGTCTTAAGTTATGAGTGCCATTGGCTAGTTCTTGAGCCATAAGAAACCTCAGATTTCGTATTGACGAAGAGAACTTTACGTTTTTGTAAAGAAACTTTGTACACGAAGTGTAACATATGCACTGAGCATGGCTGTTTGTCTATTTTTTGTCATATAATTCAATATTCTAGTATAAATTTCATTAACGCAGGGTAATTTAGTAATTATTTAATCTAAATAACATCTTATTACATATCACTGGCCCGTGAAATTTATGTATGACTAAGTTGTATTCAAATGTGGACTTAATTGTGTTCGTAATGCAGTTAAGATTAATAATTTGATTAATTTTTTTAGTTACTGTCAGCACGTTTCATTTCAACAACGATATGAATGTAACATTTGAGATTCTCACAGCGGCAGTTATGAAAATGGCTGTCTTCTAGGAAGTTGCGTCTCGCATTCTCATAGAAATTGACCATCATCGCCCTGATAATGGAGACCATAAGCGCCTCTGAAATGTCGATCAGTTTCAACGAGACTGCACTCCGCAACTTCCAATAAAACAACCATCTTCAGCATCTATAGTGATTCGAATGTTTGCTGTGTTCCTGAATATTTCTTAATCATTCTCGTTAGCGTGATGCAATTTCTGAAACTTGTCTGCGCGATAATGAAACTCGTATGGCTGGTATCCGCTGCTGGCCGTTTCCTTTCAATGTAGACTATCAGACAGACTAGTAGGTGAAAGGAGAAATCTCCACCAAGTAGGTCACACCTACTGGACCATCAAGGTCAGCTTCATCTGCAACTGTCACCACCGGAATTTGCTTTACAGTCACTGTTACCATTCAGGTACTGACCTGGACGGGTTCAGGTAAACGTCAATGGCAGTGCTAGGCAGTCGCTGGTGAATGAATACGGCCCCCGTGCGGATAAATACTGTCATTTGTTCACTCCAGTCTTTATAGTTGATTTCTCTTTAGTTTGCACCATCTCCAAGTCGCCATCCCCTCCACGAAGAAGAATATGTCAGTGTAACGACTACCAATCCACTGAAGTCGGGAATAGAGTCATTTCCCGAAACGTCGTACAAATGAAATATACGTTAGACCAGTGGTATTCAACCTGGGGTAAGCGAAGACATCTTAGGGGGTACGTGAAATTTAAAAAATATATTATTTTATGATAAACACTGAATAATCAGTAATGTAATTTATTTAATTTATTTTAGATGTAGATTATATACTATGTATAATTTGAATTATACACCAACAACTTTGGGGGTACAAAGTTGAAGAGAAATTATATCTGGGGGTACGCGAACTAAAAAGGTTGAATACCACTGCGTTAGACAGTCGACAATGTCCAACATAGTGTTTCTACATTCGAGCAAATAACTTGCGGACCCTTTAGGAAGAACATACAGATCCTACGTTGAGAACCATTGACACAATATGTTTACCATACTAATTAGATGTAGGTTCATATTTATTATTTAGTGTTCTGTCTGACGACAGGTCCATATGAACAGGATCCTTCCATCCTTTTCTCGGACTGGGACCTGTTCATATGCGTTCTTGGCAGATGATCCAGAAGTGGTTTGCCATTGCCTTCTTCTGTGTGTGAATGGAGTAATTGTTGGGATGCCACGGAGAAACCGGGGAAGCCCCCGGAGGAAAACTCCGTGTTGCCTAGACCACGGCCTTGCCCAACACAAGTTATAAATTCGGGCACCGCCGGGAATCGAACCCGAGACCCCCAGGATACTTAAAAACCCCTTCCCCTCATTTGAAACAATGCATTTCGTGTTTCAGTAATTTTCAAATGATTTCAGTGAGCTTTTAAAACGCAGGTCCTATTTCTTAGCATGTCTCGCGATTAAAACTCAGGCCACATAACTGACATGAGGCATGTGCTTGGAGTGGATCCGTCAGACGTAGAGGTGAACGCCCTTCCCGTTACTGGACAAAGAAAAGAGGTCAACCGCATTGTTACTGTCTTCCGTCTCTTTGAAGATTCGCGTGTAATCGATTGAAATAGTCGTCAACAGTGATAGATGAGTTGGCTTAAAGTTGCTATTATTCGTTTGTAATAAGTCGGCATTACTCTGATTTAATCTATGCATAAGATAAGAGTAGTCGATTATGTTACGATACGAAATACACTGTAGTGACTGTTTACAATTAGAAGGATGAGAGCTTGCTTATTAACGAGGTATTGGTAAGGAAATGATTCTAGTAAGCATTTCTTGAGAGGGCTGAAGGGAACTACGAAAATCATTTCGAGCGAGGTAAGCTCACAGACCCTGCCACAGAAATACTGGGAAGAAGGAAGGTCACAAACTGGTGTTTGGTTCTTACTCTAAAGCCTTGAATTTCTGCATTGTTACAAATCGGTGCTCATCTCTGACTGACTCTAGAGCCTTGAATTTCTGCATTGTTACAAATCGGTGCTCATCTCTGACTGACTCTAGAGCCTTGAATTTCTGCATTGTTACAAATCGGTGCTCATCTCTGACTGACTCTAGAGCCTTGAATTTCTGCATTGTTACAAATCGGTGCTCCTTGAATTTCTGCACTCATCTCTGACTGACTCTAGAGCCTTGAATTTCTGCATTGTTACAAATCGGTGCTTATCTCTGACTGACTCTACAGCCTTGAATTTCTGCATTGTTACAAATCGGTGCTCATCTCTGACTGACTCTAGAGCCTTGAATTTCTGCATTGTTACAAATCGGTGCTCATCTCTGACTGACTCTAGAGCCTTGAATTTCTGCATTGTTACAAATCGGTGCTCATCTCTGACTGACTCTAGAGCCTTGAATTTCTGCATTGTTACAAATCGGTGCTCATCTCTGACTCTAGAATTGGTGCCTGCCTGGGGTAGAATCGTGCATGCTTTTAATTTTATATGTGAATGTGAGCTGTATGTAGATATGTAATAACGTAGTAATGGTAATACTTTCATTTGCATGTATTTCCAGCCTCAAGTGTTTACACTTACCAGTCTCAATGGCGTTCGGCGAAGACAAGATCTGGGACAAACGGGTGTCGAAGACATGATTCAGCTCTCGTAAGTTCCTTTTGATGCCAATACAAATATTATATAATTTTGAGAATATAAATTTAGTTTCTGTTAGACGTTTTAGCATTTTTTTGTAATTTATTTTATTTTCTGAATGCAGAAGTTTTACTAGAGGCTAGTAGACAGGTGGGGCTAGAAGTAAATTCAGAAAAATCTAAGTACATGTTAGTATCTCATCATCAGCAGACAGGCAGGCAGAATTATCTTAGGGTGGCTAATAAATCCTTTGAAATTGTTACAAAGTTAAAATATTTGAGAACAACAATAACAAATCAAAATGATATTCATGAGGAAGTTAGGAGGAGACTAAATTCCAGAAATGCTTGCTACTTCTCAGTTCAAAATATTTTGTCTTCCCGTCTGATTTCTA